AAGTAAGGTATCATAGTGCTGATTATGCTGAAAAAATAAAAATGGTGGCAGTGTAAACACAGACTGATAGCTTATACTTGTAAATATTGAAATATTTCTGTTGTTTCAGCAATTTTTCAGCATAATCAGCAATATGATACCTTACTTCCCATCACCCCCTGTGGACATAAATTAAAAGCTGGAATTGCCTATTATGATGTCATAGGGATCCCCGTACAACCTCTCTTAACGTGGTCCTAATATTTCCCTAAAATCCAATTGCCAATTCCAGCTTTTAGTTTATGCGTGCAGAGGACGATGGGAAGTAAGGTATCACATTGCTGATTATGCTGAAAAAATAAAAATGGTGGCCATTTAAACATGGAATGATAGCTTATACTTGTAAATATTGAAATATTTCGGTTGATTCGGTAGTTTTTATTGAAATTTTTCAGCATAATCAGCAATATGATACCTTACTTCCCATCATCCCCTGCAGGCATAAACTAAAAGCTGGAATTGCCTATTATGATTACCTGACTTGCTTTCTTGGTGCAAACAAAAGATGGTTTCTCCATCACAATACAATTGTAGTTTATGTACAATAATGGAACACCTGGAATTTTTCTTAATCTATTACGAAGCTGCTTGTCTTGAGTGGCAACAAAATATCTCTTCTCATTTTCTTCACCTATGGTGAGAAAATTGTTATTTTTCCTTATTCTTGCTTGCCTAGTTAATTAACAAGAGATGTGAGATGTGATAGTACTACCTGCACTTTCCCCTTAAGTTAATGTAAAAACATCTGGCATTAAAGACCTGATCATTAATAGTGGGAGGGGGTGAGTGGTGGATGAGAAATGGGGGGTTGGGAGTGGTGGGTGAGGAAAGAGAAAGCCAGAAAGGGGGAATTATTTTTAGCCTGAATGGGGGCAACTTCACACCCAAAATATGTGCCAGGGGGTTATTTGAAGTATTTTGTGAACATGTTAAGACTATATAACAAAAAATGGACTATTAATTATAGTATCGGTATACATTGATACATACAATATAAATTACTACATACAAGTTTAATGATATAAAAAAAATTTCACAAGCACAGTCCACAATTCTTGCAGGTGTGATATTCCTGTACATTATGGATTTGGTCTAATTATCTATATCAATTAATTAAGTACTTGGACAAACAATACTATGTATAGCTAGATTACATACCAATCTCGTTCCCTGAGCCTGCGATCCTCGGGAAGGAATGTGAGGCTCTGGAATAATCCGTTTCAGGGAGGAATCGGATTGGCCGTTGAAATCGAATACATAGTTCAATCTTAGCCAGGATCCTTGGCTTCCGGTAACAGATTATCCCAGAGCCTCACGTTCCTTCCCGAGGATCGCAGGCTCGGGGAACAAGATTGATTACATACCAACTAAATGACTGGCACACTCTGTTGCTGAAACATGTTCACGATGGCCACACTTTCGAGTCTTAAATCTTTTTGCAATAACAAGAGCACCATATAAAGCTCCTCCAAGACTTTCAAGTTCATTTAACACACACTCTGTTGTTACTTAATATATAACTCAGTCAAGGAAGAAAGCCTTGAACTAACTGTACCAATCCTATTAGGTTTGACATAGACCTGCTTGATGGTAGAAATTTGTTAATTTTAGCTGGCCAAAGGCACAAGATTGATTAAATTTTGTTTGCCTAACCGATTATAATGGGTAATTCCAGAAAACATCAACACTCCCCTCCCCCCTTCCTGCCATCTGGAGGGGGATGTCAGAAATGGATAGGGGGGTTAACTTCCAATTGCCTCTGTGGGGAGGTATGGATATTTTCTGGAATGACCGAATATCAATTTCAAGATATTTGGAATGTTGTCACATCAACAGTGATAATGGTTTGCTTATAAAAGGATACACAGTTGAATTTCAGCATCCAAATACTTTGGCAGTTGCTCTTTGATGTTGATTTTATTTTGCAAGGCGGCCTGACAAAATGTCCCATCAACTATGGAAGACAAATAGAAATAATATATTACTATAAATTTCTATGACTCACAGCAGGAATGAGATCTACAAGCCATCATAAATGTATAAAATAAAGTGAAATTGTCCATGTTAATGCTTCGTCCTACCGGTAAGTGCATGATCAGGATGAAATTTTTGCCCATTTCGATCGACCTATGGTGGTGTTGGGCAGGTCATCTATTAATCGAGACATTGAGTCGCATTGCGCCCTACTGTATTATTTTACTCTGTCTAACACTAGTTAGACAATTTTACTCACCAAGAGGAGAGTGCTGGAGCTTAATGGGTTAACTAGCCTATCTGCCTATCTGCCTATGTGTCTAGTTAACCAATTTTATATTTTACTCTGTCTAACACCAGATGATTTTATTTGTCAAGGGGAGAGCACTGGCGCTTAATGGGGTGCATTGGGACACCATGCGACTCATGAGTTAACTGGACACATGGGCAGTCTGGCCACCCATCGAGTACTCGCCAGCACTATCCCCATAGGGCATGTGTCAACTTTATGGGTTAGGCCAATGGAATTGTAGATTCTGTTTACCATCCACCGCCCGCATGTGCTTGCAACTAACGCAAGAATTTTTCATTATTAATTATTTTCATTATTTGTCATTATTTTTAATTTTACGCATCGAAACTTTCAAATATACATCAAATCTTCGATATAGAAAGCTGTACATCGCTGATGTTGATGGATCAGTCGGCATTTGTTCGGTACATGTACACTCGGAAATTCGCGAGTCTGAGTCCGTCTGACATGTGCAAATTCGAAAACGATGGAGTGACAAAGACATTTTCAGCAAAGGAAACTGGCCAAAAATGATAAAAGAATGCTGGACAAAAGTGTTGATGATCGAGATCAAAAGAAAACAATTTAAGGATCATTTTTGGTTGGAAAATAGATAAGGACAAAAATAATGAAAAATGAATAATGAAAAAAAACCGCATCAGATTTTTTAATTTCTCGGACGGTAAACAGAATCTACAGTTCCATTGGCCTTAACAATATATGCAAAAACTTAATTTGACCTCCCCTAACCACCCCTTCAGTTGCATAAATTCTAATGGCCCCTAGCATGGGTTTGAAGATACTGACAAAAAAATTAAACATGGAAGGTTTGTAAGTTACAATACAAAGTAGCAATTCATTCTCACAACGAAAATATTTTTAAGGCGCCATATTTGAAAATATGGTAGTCATGATAAAATAATATTTATGCTTTTTATTATACTTATAAATAGTCTTGTATTTGATGTTCAATAAACAAAATTGAGAGATGTGGTTTAGTTTTCTTGCCAGGAGTCTTCAATTTTCAAAACTGTATAAACCCATTTTGACCACCATTTGTTGCAGAATATAATACACTCCGAACATATTTAACGCTTATCAGAAGCCACATATACAAAAGAAACTACCTATTGTTAGCAAAATAAATACTTACCCAATATTTGATAAGGTTCAAAAATACCGAATGAATTTTTAAAAAGATTTATGTACTTTTTCACCGTCTTCTGTCGTTTGACTTTCATCTTGTATTTATCTTCTGGCTTCTGCACGTGCAATCGTGGACACGATTTGCGTGAGCACGTAGCACGTTCTAAGCTTGAGAGCCTGTTCGCAGGCTAGCACGTCACGCTCTTGAGCGCTCGCATCAGCGCTCGCATCGTTAAAAATAGGTACGAAAGCGTACAGAAGCGCACATCAATACATCATGGAAATAACACTTGGGTTTGGGTTTTAAATATTGCTTTGAAATCGTTTATCAGCAGATAATTTTAAAATATTTAAGAAAAAAAATACTCCGAAAAATAATGCCATCTTGTACACTCAAGATTTGAGTTATTTTAAAGAAAACAAGACACAAATTACGATGGTGATATTTCGCAAAGCTATAAACTTCAGAATAACGTCAAAAAATTGTCAAAACAGTACATTCATAACTATATGGCTACCTGCACTACTTCCTTAAATCTAGTAAGTTTATATGCAAGGTTTTTTGAAACTAGATACCAATTGTTTTTGAGAGGTGGACGGTAGTATTACAAACGTAAACGAATCTCCAATAGTACGACTCTACAACCTCGTTAGGGTCTTTGTGGTTTGCTTTGATACTGTGGGTTATACGGAAGATGATGGTGGTATTCGTTACCTTGGAGAGGGGCATTCTGTGGATGCATTTGTTGCCCACTGCTGTCTTGGAATTGTGCGTCTTTTGTCGCTTCCGGGGATTCGAGAGTGTGATAAACAGGATTGTGAAGTTGATTGTGGTTCTGATGTACTTCGTTGTCACTTTGTGCTGGATCCTCGTAGATTGGAGAAGGATTTATATGAAATCCATGATTTTCGTTCCCCTGTTGTTGACTTTTTGCAGGATTTTGGGTTTCTGTCCCTTGATATGGAGTGTTCGGTAGAGGCACAGTTCCCGCTTGAGTTGCATTCGCTGGTCGCTTCTTTTTCACATACCAAAACACGGCTAGTACTAGTCCAACAGCAATAAGAAATACAACTAGACTTACAGTAATAACAGCAATCGCCCATGATGGGAGAGAGTTAAATGCGCATCTATGATCAGAGTTGCAAGTCTCGCCGGCTCCACCACAGTCATCGCTTGTACTACAAGATTTCCCAACACAATGTTCACTACACACACCAAATTCACCAACATACCGCTGTCTTTTCTTACAACAATAATGTCCAGTATTGCAGTTTGCGTTTGTAATACAACCAGAGCAACCACGATCAACACATGTGTTAGAAATACAACACTCATTTCGAGACCCACAGTCGTCGTCAATCCGACAGAACTCGCCCACACAACTTTTGGCACAACTATCTCCCCAATAGCCGGAACTCTTCTTCTTGCAACAATATTGATCCAAATTGCACTCAGAATTCGATGTACACTTATCGTAACAGCCTGTTTTAACACACTTTCCCGATCGACAACACTCGCTCAGACCAGCACAGTCATCGTTGGAATTACAAGTTTGGTTCATACAATTGGCTGCGCAAACGGTTTGGTCCAAAGGAAACGTCTTCTTGCAACAGACATGGGTCGAATAACAGTCTGTATCATTGGTACATCCAGAGCAACCCATGTTGACGCATACGTTAGAGCGGCAACACATTGATGGGTCACCACAATCACTGTCGCTTGAGCAATAGCGATTTAAACACGAACGATACGTGCAAGTCCGATCCTTGCTTCCTAACATCAAGTATCCACCGCAGCAATACGGCCAATATTTATCATATTTGAGCGTGCAATCCGCGTGGGTTTTGCATTGACCGACGCATTGAACAAGACGAATATTGTCGCAAACTAATACACCGAAAGCGATCACGAAGACAAGATACTGCGCCATCATGAACGATTTAGCACGGAATGAAATGCAGAGGAAAAGTCGTAAAACGAAACTAAACAGCTGTTTCTAAGAAAACTGCACCCCTGCTTGCATAATATATTGATATGAAACGGACATATCAGATTTCAAGGGTGGGTAAACTGAATAATTCATATTTTAATGAATTAGATTTCTTATTCCAGAGTTTTCAGACCGGGTTGAATTTCAACCCTGTTGACCGAGCTGAAATTGTTTTACGAGATTACATGGCAAGTTTCAGCCCAGGCTGAGTTTAAAATCACACGTCACGCTTTTGAGCGCTCGCATCATTAAAAATAGGCACGTAAGCGTACAATCACATACAGTATGTTGTAGTTTACAACTATAGTATATATTAAATTACAATTATTTACTATCCTATCCGTTCTTTATAGTATTAAAAATGTTAATAGCATGTAAAAGCGGGCTATTTCTAAATATATTAGTTCTAAAAAGTTATAAAAACAGTTTTTATTCGCTTTAGTGTTTCTTTCCATTACCTCAGATTTTTTTGGAGGAGACAACATTTGGGCTTATTGCTTTGAAATCCTTTACCAGCAGACAATTTTTGAGTTATTTGGAAGAAAACAAGACACAAATTATGGTGGTAATATTTCGACTCTATTTCAGGGTCATTGTCAAACCAAACAGTTTAGTCAAACGCCAGTCAAGTCGGTGTTTGATAAGACAAATTTGAAAAAGGTGACAAGTGAAAAAAATTCGGCTAGAAATAGGAGGCCCTTATGTGAGATAAATGTTTTTAATTCAGGGTATTTTCATTGACAAATTTAATCTTCTCAATCTACATTTGTACTACATCTTCTAATTCGTTTTAATATGCAGGTTTTGTGCATCATTATGTCAGGCTGGTTATGAGGCTACATATGATCGCGTATCCTCTGAAGAATCGAACTGGTTCCTCACAAAGCCAATGTAAATTATTATTGTTATAAAATAATAACAAAAAACTATCAAAACAGTACATGCATAACTATGGCTACCTAAACTACTTTCTTTTTTAAACTAGGAACCACCTGATTTGTTTAAATTGATTTTGAGAGGTGGACAGTGGTATTACAAACGAATAATGTGATTCGTTAGGGTCTTCGTGGGATCACAGGTGGGATTCCGGATATGGATTGCCTTGATACTGTGGGTTATATAAAGGATTATGGAGGTAATCGTTACCTTGATGCTGGGCATTCTCCATTTGCTGGCCACTGCTGTCTTGATCTTGTGTCGCATCCAGGGTTACTTCGTTGTTACTTTGTGTAGGATATGAAGACATAGCAGTGTGATGTCCTTGGTCATCGTAGTTTGTAGGATTCATACGAAATCCATGATTTTCGTTTTCTTGTACATGTTGTGGATTTTTTGTTGGGTTTTGGAATAGAGGATCTTCGTCTGGGGTACCCTGTCCGGCATTATGAAATCTTTGAGGATTGTGGGATTGACGAACCACGCTGTTGTTGCCATGCTGAAGTTGATTTTCAAATGCAGTTGGATTGTTAAGATGCGAAAACTGGGTGTTTGGTTGATTCTGTATTTCTGCCCCTTGATACTGAATGTTCTGTAGAGGCATAGTTCCCGCATGAATTGTGTTAACTTGTGGTTTCCTTTTCACATACCAAAACACGGCTAGTAGTAGTCCAACAGCAATAAGAAATACAACTAGACTCACAGAAATAACAGCAATCAGCCATGGAGGTAGAGATTTTGAGGCAGTGTTGCTTTCTTGGTTAACTGCGCATCTACGATCAGAATCACAAGTCTCACCCGGGCCACCACAATCATCGCTTGTACTACAAGATTTCCCAACACAATGTTCACTACATTCACTCAGTTCGTACCACTGTCTTTTCTTACAACAGTAATGTCCACTACTGCAGTGTGAGTTTGTAGTACATCCCGAACAACCATGGTCAACACATTTGTTAGAAATACAGCACTCGTTTGGAGCCCCGCAGTCATCGTCCGTGCTGCAAGTTTCGCCAACACAACTTTGAGCACAACTATCTCCCCAATAGCCGGAACTCTTCTTCTTGCAACAATATTCATCCAAATTGCACTCACAGCCGTAACAGCCTGTTTTAACACACTTTCCCGATCGACAACACTCTCCCCAACCAGCACAGTCGTCGTTGGAATTACAAGTTTGGCTGATACAATTCGCAGCACAGACAGTTTGGTTAAAAGGAAACGTCTTCTTGCAACAGAAATGGCCTGTATCGCAGTCTGACTTATCGGAACATCCTGAGCATCCCTGGTTGACGCATTCGTTAGAACGGCAACACATTGATGGGTCGCCACAATCACTGTCACTTGAGCAATAGTGGTTTAAACACGAAATAGACGTGCAACTCCGATCTTTGCTTCCGAAACTGAAGTATCCACGGCAGCAATGCTTACTCCAAATATTGCCTTCGCAATCCACATTGGTCGAACATTGATCGACGCATCCAACAAGACCAATATCGTTGCAAACCATCACACTAAAAGCAAACACGAATGCAAGATAATTCGCCATTGTGAACGATTTAACACCAGCCTCACGAAAATAAAATGTTGAGAATGGAGTGTAGTGTTTCTAAGAAGACCTGTTTGCAGAACTTGTTACTGCTGTCAATATTTCAAATATGAAAGTAAGGAGAAAGACTAGTCCGACGGTGAACGGTTGTTTTCCCGACTTTAGCAATGTCGTATTTCGGAATGATTGGGTCCAGCCATTAGTAGTTGATCAGTTGAGCTTGCAACGCTGCGTTTTGAAAGCGTTGTTACATTATTTGTCGGTTACCAACGCATCGTTTCCAAGACGTAACGTGCACCTGTACGTTTTGTTGTGTAAACAGTGGATGCAGCAAACATGATAATATTGGCACAAAAGAAAAATCTACGGTACCGTAGGAAACGGCTGATGTCCGATTTACTTGAAATCGGATCGAGCCCAAATTAGAGGGACTTAAAACAAGAACGAAAACAAGCTACTTTGCCATCTTGCATCAAGAGCGAGATGGTCCGAGATGAAAGCCTGTTTCCCCGACTTCAACAGCATCGTACTGAATGATTGAGTACGTCTGTGTTTTGTAAACATTGGAGCAAAACTAATAAAATTGGCACAAAAGAAAAGTCTACGGTACTTTATATACGACATGGCTGCAGTTCATGAAGAACAAGCAGCGACAGAAACCAACAGACAATAGCGAGGACTTGAAATCCGAATATCCGATCCAGCCCAGAATTCAAAAGCTTTGATTAACACCCATAAGTCATAATTCATATTTTAATGTATTAGTTTTCTCATTCCTGACTTTTCAGACGATCAGACTGAATTCTAACCCGGTTAACCGAGTTGAAATCGTTTTACGATTACACGGCACGTTTCAGCCCGGGCCGAGTTTAAAATTACAGCTTGAACCGGCATGACACGATTTCAAGTCTTTCAAGCACGTCACACTTTTGAGCGCTTGCATCGTATTCGTAGTATGACTTTATTAGCATGCGCATGACCAGCAGTTACAGATATTGCTAAAGCTTTAACTACAACAACTAAACATACAAACTAAAGGTAACTACAATACGCTAAATACGACGTATTACAAGAATCATTAAAAATAGGCACGTAAGGGTACAAAAGCGTACAATCATATATATAGTTCAGAAGTTCCGACAAATGACTTCATCTGAAGCCCCGTACAGACGAGCAATTTTTCCCTGATATGTTATCCTTGACAAGCTTTAATTACTCGTGTGTATTACTTAAAATATGGACAAGAAGAATTGCTCAAACGCTATAGTCAAGGCAGTTTTTCAATGAGGCAAATTTGTCATGAAAGCTGACAAGTGAAAGAAATAGTTTTATTAACAACATTCCGTTCAGAAGCCACCGGAAGCCAGGGTGTGAATTGGCAGAAAATGGCCATTCTGAATTTAAGCCAGTTAAATAAATGAAAGTCAAAATATAGAGCTCTATCGAAGTAAAGATAGGAACATCGGATGAAATTTTATTGTCGGAAACGCCGTTGTACTCTTAAGGATTTTATAGGAAGCTTGGACTGGAATTTCAGTCTCCGGGTTGAAATTCAGTCTGGGTATTTTCATTGACAAATTCAATCTTCCCAATCTACTTTTATACTGCATCTTCCAATTCGTTTTAATATACAGGTTTTGCGCATCTTTGTGTCAGGCCACGTATGGTCACGTGTCCTCTGAAATATCGAAATTCCTCGCAAAGCGAAAAACTTATAATTATTAATATCAGAATAATGTCAAAAAACTATCAAAACAATGCATGTATAACTATGGCTACCTAAACTACTTTCGTAAATCTAATAAGTTTATTTAAGTTTTTTTTAAACTAGAAACCACCTGATTTCTTTAATTAAGTTGATTTTGAGAGGTGTACACGGTGGTATTACAGACGTATAAGCCCACCCGAGTATAAGCCCCCAGTGTATAAGCCCATCATATTTCCTAACGCTCAAGCATAAAAAATCTAAATGTTTTCTGGGAGAGGACCACCAGACCCTCATATTTTCCTCACAAATCACATACGTGCTGGGATAACGGAACAGGAGATAAAATTGGGGCGAGCGAAGCTATCCAAAAGAGATTAGAGTGGGAGAACCTAATATTCTTTGCTGCCTAAGGTTATTATACATTGAGTATTCATGATTCCCAGTTACATGTTTTGAAACACTTTTTGTGGGTGGTTTGGTGAAACAAAACTTTGCCAGAACTTACGAGCCTCTAAATTCAAAATTTGGGGGGACACCCCCTACCTGTAGCCCCCCACCCAGAATCGAGTTTGCCTGGCCCCACCCAACCACACCTTTATTCTGCCACTTATATACAAATTAAGAGTCTGTCATAATTTACAACGTTAACTATAAATTTACAACGTTAAATATAGATAAAAATCCTTTGACTCGCCAGTCAAACACGTGATTCTTCGTATAACATCCCTAATATGTGCAGTTCTAAATTTTTTTTAAAATAAACCCTGAGGCTAGGTATATGATCGCGTATCCTCTGAAATATCAAAGTTCATCACAAAGCTAATGTAAATTATTATTGATATAAAATAACATAAAAAAACTATCAATGTTTTGATAGTTTTTTGATGTTATTTTATATCAATAATAATTTACATTATAATTACAATAATAACTACCTAAACTACTTTCTTAAATCTGGTAAGTGTATTTAAGGTTTTTTAAAACTAGGAACCACCTGATTTGTTTAAATTGATTTCGAGAGGTGGACAAATCATGTGATTCATTAGGGTCTTCGTGGGATCACAGGTGGGTTTCTTGATATAGATCGCCTTGATATTGCGGGTTATGTAAAGGATTATGAACGTAATCGTTACCTTGGTGCGGGGCATTCTTCATTTGCTGGCCACTGCTGTCTTGATATTGGGTATCTTTTGTCGCTTCCAGAGTTACTTCGTTGTTACTTTGTGCAGGAAATGAAGACATAGCAGTGTGGTGTCTTTGGTCATCGTAATTTGGAGAAGGATTCATATGAAATCCGTGATTTTCGTTTCCTTGTACATTTTGTAGATTTTTTGTTGGATTTTGGAATAGAGGATCTCGGTTTGGGGTACCCTGTGCGGCATTATGAAATCTTTGAGGATTGTGGGATTGACGAGCCACGTTGTTGTTGCCATGCTGAAGTTGAATTTCAAATGCAGTTGGATTGTTAAGATGCGAAAACTGGGCGTTTGGTTGATTCTGTATTTCTGCCCCTTGATGAGTGTTCTGTATAGGCATAGTTCCCGCATTAATTGTATTTACTTGTGGTTTCCTTTTCACATGCCAAAACACGGCTAGTAGTAGTCCAACAGCAATAAGAAATACGACTAGACTTACAGTAATAACAGCAATCAACCATGGAGGTAGAGATTTCGAGGCAGTGTTGCTTTCTTGGTTAACTGCGCATCTATGCTCAGAGTCGCAAGTCTCGCCCGGGCCACCACAATCATCGCTTGTACTACAAGATTTCCCAACACAATGTTCACTACACTCACTAAATTCACCAACATACCACTGTCTTTTCTTACAACAGTAATGTCCGGTACTGCAGTTTGCGTTTGTGGTACATCCAGAGCAACCACGATCAACACATTTGTTAGAAACGCAACACTCATTTGGAGCCCCGCAGTCGTCGTCAATCCGACAGATCTCGCCCACACAACTTTTGGCACAACTGTCTTCCCAAAAGGAATACTTCTTCTTGCAACAATATTGATCCAAATTGCACTCAGAATTCGATGTACACTTATCGTAACAGCCTGTTTTAACACACTTTCCCGATCGACAACACTCGCTCAGACCACTAGCACAGTCATCGTTGGAATTACAAGTTTGGCTGATACAATTGGCTGCGCAAACGGTTTGGTCCAAAGGAAACGTCTTCTTGCAACAGACATGGGTTCTATAACAATCTGTATCTGTGATACATCCCGAACAACCCTTGTTGACACATTTGTTAGAGCGGCAACAGATTGACGGGTCGCCACAATCACTGTCCCTTGAGCAATATCGATACAAACACGATCCAAACGCGCAAGTCCAATCTTTGCTTCTGAAACTAAGGTATCCACGACAGCAATGCTTAGTCCAAACATTGCCTTCGCAATCTGCATGGGTCGAACATTGATCGACGCATCCAACAAGACCAACATTGTTGCAAACCATTACACTAAAAGCAATCACGAATACAAGATAAGTGGCCATTGTGAACATTTTAACACCAGCCTCGCGAAAATTGGAATGTATGGAAAACGAAGAGGAAAAGCTGTTTCTAAGAAAGTCCTGTTTTCAGAACTTCTTACTGATGTCAATATTTCAGGCAAATATGAAAGTAAGGAGAAAGATTAGTCCAACGGTGAACGCTCGTTTTTCCGACTTCAGCAGTGTCGTATTGAATGATTGGGTCCAGCCATTAGTAGTTGAGCAACGCTGCATTTTGAAAGCGTTGTTGCATTGTTTGTCGGTTAGCGACGCATAGTTTCTAAGACGTAACGTGTACCTGTACATCTTTGTTCTGAACTGAAACACTGCATGCGGCAAACATGATAATATTGGCACAAAAGAAAAATCTACGGTACCGTAGGAAACGGCTGAAGTCCGATCGAACCTAAATTAGAGAGGGTTTTCCTTGACAACTCCTAACTCAAATTACCTGTAATTGAACTAGACGTGCAAGTTCAATCCTTGCTTTCAAAACTGCAAGGGTAGGTAGTACTGTAGCGAACTACAATTTTCAAGTAGCCAGTAGTTTTTGACTACTTTTCTAAAACAGTAACTGTAGTTATAGCGAACTACATTTTGCCTAAAAGTAGCCAAGTAGTTGATTACTTTTCAAACAGCGAATCGCTATTCGCTACTTTTTAAATTGTTAGCAACTTGATAGAATAGCATGATATTGAGACACGGTTTGCTTAAAATCAATACTCAATTTGCACTCCTGAACACTGCAGTGCTTACAAAAATGTCAAAAATTTTGCTTTGTGTTTACTGTTGCTACTCGTAAGTCGGTTGTTATAGGATACATTACAGCATGAGTTTGTAGATGTTCCAAATATAGTACAACTAAAAAAATATAGCGTAGCCAAATAGCGAAATAGTTCGCTACATTTTTGAAGCAGTAGCTGCAGTTAGTAGCGAACTACCTTTGTTCAAAAGTAGCAGTAGTTGTAGCTGACTACATATTTTTGAAGTAGCTGTAGTTATAGCGAACTACAAAAATTTTGTAGTCAACCCACCCTTGCAAAACTGAAATATCCACCACAGCTTCCGAAAGAACGTTGCCTTACATCAGCGCATTGAACAAGACAAATATTGTCGCGGCAAACTAATACACCGAAAGCGATCACGAAAATAAATACTGCGTCATCATGAACGATTTAGCACTAACGACGCACAGAATGGAATGCAGGGAGAAAGTTGGAAAACGAAAGTAAACAGCTGTTTCGAAGAAGACTGCACCTGCTTGCATAACATATTAATATGAAACCATTTTCATATTAATATGTTATGCAAGCAGGTGCAGGTCAGGTGGACTGAATAATTTAAAGTGCCCCTAAATTTAAAGTGCCCCCCAAATAGTTTTGTAACCACAAAGAGCCTGGGCCTGGGTCTAACTAGCCCATTTTCTGAAGTCACGGAAGGTGGTCGGCATATATCTTTGATCAGGTGGCCATGGCCTATATCAACATTTAGATTTTAGATTTTTAGGTATAACAGATTAATTTAAAAATTGACGGGTTTCGAAAATTATAATCCCCCCCGAATATAAGTCCCTCCGTGTACAAGCCCATGGGCTTATTATTAGACAGGTATGTTAATGTTATTGATGCAGCGACGAGTATTCCAACAGCACAGACAAGTGACAATAATTACATTACAGTTATATAATATGTTATAACCAGCTTGTTTTATGTATAAATTATATACTATATGTTTATATTTCTTTTCGTTCACAGTATAGTTTACAAGTACGATAAATATTAGCGTCAAATGTCGTGCGTATATAAGCCCCACCTCCATATATAAGCCCTCCCATGTATATAAGTCCATCAAAAAATGCTTACAAACGAATATAAACCCAGGGCTTAAATTCGAAGGTTTATGTTTTCTACAATCTCGTCAGGATCTTCGTAGGAGATTCCGTTTATGGATTGCCTTGATACTGTGGGTTATACGGAGGATGATGGTGGTAATCGTAACCTTGGTGCGGGGCATTCTGTGGATATATTTGTTGACCACTGCTGTCTTGAAATTGTGCATCTTTTGTCGCTTCTGGGGATTTGAAAGTGTGATAAACAAGGTCGTGAAGTTGATTGTGGTTCTGATGTACTTCGTTGTCATTTTGTGCAGGATATGAGGATACAGTAGCGTGGTGTCCTGGATCAGTGTGGTTCGGAGAAGGATTTATATGGAATCCATGATTTTCATTCCCCTGTTGTGAACTTTTTGCTGGAGTTTGGGTTACAAGACCTTGGTTTGGGGTAGCTTGTGCTCCATACTGGAATCCTTGAGGGTAGTGACTAGGATTGCGGGATTGTTGAACCACGTTGCTGCCCGATTGAGGATGGTTTTGAAATGCTGTTGGATTATTAAGACTTCTGAACTGGGTGTTTGGTTGTTGATTCTGGATTTGTTTCTGTATATTGAGTGTTCTGTAGAGGAACAGTCCCCACTGGAGTAGCATTTACTCGGCGTCGCTTCCTTTTCACATAGCAAAACACGGCTAGTATTATTCCAATAGCAATAAGAAATACAACTAGACTTACAGTAATAACAGCAATCAGCCATGATGGGAGAGAGTTCGAGGCAGTGTTGCTGCTCGAGGCAGTGTTGCTGTTCAAGGCAGGGCTTGCTGTTCGAGGCAGGGCTATGTTCTGATTAATTGCGCATCTATTATCAGAGTCGCAAGTCTCGCCCGGGCCACCACAGTCATTACTTGTACTACATGATTTTCCAATACAATGTGCACTACACTCACTAAATTCACCAACATACCACTGTCTTTTCTTACAACAGTAATGTCCACTACTGCAGTTTGCGTTTGTAGTACATCCCGAGCAACCACGATCAACACATTTGTTAGAAATACAACACTCATTTCGAGACCCACAGTCGTCGTCAATCCGACAGATCTCGCCCACACAACTTTGAGCACAACTATCTCCCCAATAGGAACTCTTCTTCTTGCAACAATATTGATCCAAATTACACTCAGAATTCGATGTACACTTATCGCTACAGCCTGTTTTAACACACTTTCCCGATCGACAACACTCGCTCCGACCAGCACAGTCATCGTTGGAATTACAAGTTTGGCTGATACAATTGGCTGCGCAAACGGTTTGGCCCAAAGGAAATGTCTTCTTGCAACAGACATGAGTTGAATAACAGTCTGTATTACTGGTACATCCAGAGCAACCCTTGTTGACGCATTTATTAGAGCGGCAACACATTAATGGGTCGCCACAATCACTGTCGCTTGAGCAATAGCTATACAGACACGAACTATGCGTGCAAGACCGATCTTTGCTTCCGAAACTGGAGTATCCACCGCAGCAATACGGCAAATATATAAGACACTCCGCGTGGGTTTTGCATTGATCGGCGCATTGAACAACACAAATATTATTGCAAACTAATACACCGTAAGCGACCACGAAGACAAGATACCTCACCGTCATGAACATTTAGCACTGACGACACACACAATGGAAAGTAAACAGCTGTTTCTAAGAAAACTGCACCCCTGCAAGCATAATATATTGATATAAAAGTTGGGACATATCAGATTTCAAGAGTGGGTGGACAGTGTAGGCCGGATGCAACTGCCTGAAAAATATGAGGCGAATTTCGACGTTTCGAAGGGCCTTCGCTCGAAACGTCAAAATTCTCCTCATATTTTTCAGGTAGTCGTATCCCTACCAACGAACGCTTGGACTAAATAATTCATATTTTAATGAATTAGTTTTCTTCTTCCAGACTTTTCAGAACGGGTTGAATTTCAATCCGCGGTTAACCGAGCTGAAATTGTTTTACGATTACACGACATTAAGTTTCAGCCCGGGCTGAGGTTAAAATTTCAGCTCGAGCCGGGATGAAATTATTTCAAGCACGTCAGTGACGTCACGCTTTGAGCGCTCGCATCATTAAAAATAGGCACGCAAACGTACAAAAGCGTATAATCATATACAGTTCAGAAGTTCCGACAAAACTTCATCTGAAAACAATTTTCGTTGACAAGTTTTCCTTGACAAGTTTTAATTGCTCGTGTCTCTGACTTAAAATTGACAAGTGTTCCTTGACAAGTTTTAATTGCTCGTGTCTATGACTTAAAATTAACAAGTTTTTCTTGACAAGGAGAATTGCTCAAACGCTAGTCAAGGTAGTTTTTGAATGAGGCAAATTTGTCATGAAAGTTGACAAGTGAAAGAAATAGTTTTAATGAGAACATTTCGTTCAGAAGCCACCAGAACCCATGGTGTGAATGGGCAAAAAATAGCCATGCATTCTGAATTTAAGCCAGTTAAATGAAAGTCAAAATGTGGAGCTCTATCGAAGTAAGATAGGAAAATTGGATGACATTGTGTTGTCGGAAACGCCGTTGTACTCTTAAGTATTTTATAGGAAGCTTGGACTGGAATTTCAGTCTCCGGGTTAAAATTCAGTCTGGGTATTTTCATTGACAAATTTAATCTTCACAATCTACTTTTATACTGCATCTTCCAATTCGTTTTAACATGCAGGTTTTGCGCATCTTTGGGTCAGGCCACGTATGGTCACGTGTCCTCTGAAATATCGAAGTTCCTCGCAAAGCGAAAAACTTATAATTATTAATATCAGAATAATGTAAAAAAACTATCAAAACAGTGCATGCATAACTATGGCTACCTAAACTACTTTCGTAAATCTAATAAGTTTATTTAAGTTTTTTTAAACTAGAAACCCACCGGGCACAGGATGTTGTTTCAACGTTGAAATTTGGTAGAAAAAAAGTTGCGACGTCGACAACCTAATATCTACGTTGCTCTGACGTTGTTTTACAAACATTGGTTCAACAGCAGCCAACAGACGTTGAATTAACGTTCATTCATGGTTAAATGTACGACGTGGATTTGTGAACCAATCTCAACGTTGTTTTAACGTGGATTCAACGTTGAATTATGGTTGACGAGATTGGCAACCTAATTTCAACGTTGTTTCAACGTCGAAACAGTTACGTCGATCCAATTTGCATAGTCAACCCTTTTTCAACGTCTATCCAACGTCTGGAAGGTCATTTCCAACGTTGATTCAACGTTGGATAAACGTCATTTTGCCCGCTGGGTTAGGGTATTGCATGTGCTTAAAGATATTTCCTTATCTTGATACTATTGTTATAATATTAAAGCGTAATAAGATCTTTGACTTTGTCGGTAATTTGCATAGTAAAAATAAATATAATTGTTTTATTTTGTTTTGTGGACACGTTCATTTCTTTGTCTCAGCTTTGGCGAAGCTTTTGATCCAAGTCCATGGGTGCCATAATCATTTAATAAACTGGTGAAGATCCATGTAGTCTTACAGATCGAAACCTAGTAATTAGCAATTATTGGATAAGGTTTTTGTGATGTGCAGAATTATGAAGGTCGATGTAAGCATTATCGTTATAACGCTTAGACCGTGATAATTTTGCATATCGCAAAAACCGAATTCAGTAATTGTTTTATTATACATTTGAAGAATAATAAAAATGATAGTATTTAACGCATGAAAAACGTTATTTATTAAAACCTATCCATATTCACATTTTTTCTATACGTTTGTTCCAAATTTTGCTTTGCTATAGTTTTCCTCAATTTGTTTGTGTTAATAGATACCGCTTGCTAATCATCTCTGGCTCATTTGCAGATAACAATTCTGACAATTTTGTGTAGGTTGCATGATTGCGCGATTTAACTGTTAGCTCTTAGCCAGTCAAATTTCCTTTACCAACTACAATGTATTATAATACAAAATAAACGTGATGTTTCCACAAATACCAAACAAATATAGTCCGGCATGCATCAAACAAGCCTTTCGTGGCAAAATTGAAATTTATCCATGCACTGAGTATATTAAATGTAGTAATCTAGATTAGTGTCTGCTTACACTGGAGCTTGACGAAGAACAGTCAGTTAATCACTGACTAATAGGCCTATACACTTATACAGGTGAAATTCCAAAACCAAATGATATCACGAATGTTGACAATGAAGCTCGAATTAAGTATATTTTGCAAGAATAAAAGTGGAGGAGTATAAGGACAAATACATGCAAGATCTAAACTAAGCAAACTAGTATACTCTAGCCTAAATAAATTGAGTTTTCGTCCGGTATATGCATGTGAGAACAAGCATATCAAGCTTGTCGTATCTTTATATGTGAGAGAGATTTACCTTCATTTACATATACTTTCATTTTCTCGACTTACACAAGGTATTCTTTGAAAATTACTTCGCCAATGAACTTACTAGATCGATTGTTTTTGAAGCAATTTAAACTGACATTCGCATGAGTGCATGTTATCAGACTCTTCAAAATTATGTCTGATAAAACACTGCTCTTCATGTTTTAAATAGTACAGTTATTCCGTACCTTGATTAAACAGAAAACATTGTTTTCATGCAGCATCGCATATTATAAGCTTTAAAATTATATACAATATTATATATATATATATATATATATATATATATATATATATATATATATATATATATATATATATATATATATATATATATATATATATATATATATATATATATATATATATATATATATATATATATATATATAGTTATATATATTATATAATATATATATATTATATAATATATATATATATATATATATATATTATATGTATTATGTAATTTCCATACCCAGCGCAAGCAGAAAAATGTTGTCTGCCGCGGCTGGGTCTTGAACCCGCGACCTTCGAATTACTATAGATCGACGCTCTACCAACTGAACTACACTGTCAGACGGATTTAAGACTGGAAATTAAACGAGTATGTTTATGATATTCAGTATATATTTCATAATTTCCAGTCTTAAATCCGGCTGACCGTGTAGCTCAGTTGGTAGAGCGTCGATATAGTAATTTGAAGGTCGGGGGTTCAAGACCCAGCCGCCGCGGCAGACAACATCTTTCTGCTTGCGCTGGGTATGGAAATTATATAATACACACTCTAGAACATTTTCATCTTATAGTAAAAACTGCAGGTTAATTTGTGCGAGTGACAACATTGAAATTCATCCTTATCGTGTCAAAATCTATAGATTTATATAAATTAAAATTAGATGGAGACCGATGGCAGAGGAAATATTTTTCTAGGCGACTTTTGTGGCCGGATAATACGGCCTATGCAAAAGAGACTTTGCAAGGCTTTGCACCAGTCCTGTAGAACTAAATTTACCGGGTGGTGGGGAACATTTGTTGGCGTCAATGACGTCATGCATAACGGATATTCATATGAGTCCAACCCATTGAACTATAAGTAAACTGGAAGGCTAACTCAGAGGGGGGATTGAAGCCGTGCTTTGTAGGTAGTGCCAGTCTTTTTTTGCAAATTTTTTTTTGAAAAATACGCTTTATATCGATAAATGTTAATCTTTTAAATTCCTTTCCCCTTTCCATTTTCATTTTAGAGCACACTAAGACAGTTAATCTTTTGACTCAAGCACTTACAATAAACAAACATGGTTGAACAGTTAAAATAATACAGGGCCAAAACAATGGGTTGTGTTCATGTACTTGAAAACTGGTAGATTCAGATTCCACATAGAGGCACACACGATAAACATCATAATATCACTGCGCTTGAAACGATCAAGAAATAATTTGAATGAACGATCAAGAATTATTAAACAAGCGAAACTCGATGAAGTACATTCTCGAACCCTGAGCCCTTCTTACGCGCGGTGCGACGAGGGGCTCTGGCCAAATCCATAACCGGATACCATAAAAACATGATAAGAAAACAATGTCCGGTGTTAGAACTAGCCAATCAGATGCCAGTTCGGAATATGGATTTGGCCAGAGCCCCTCGTCACCGCGTGTAAGAAGGGCTCTGGGTACGAGAATGGATGAAGTACTGATACTGTAAAGCTGCAGCCTTGTCCCCAGACTCCAACTCAGGCGCGCAGAGCAAGGGGACTTTTGTCGCCGCTGTCCAAATTCATCGCGGGCGCGAGCAATTTTCTCATAAAATTTCAATCTCGTTCCCAGAGTATGCCTATTCGCGCGTTAGATATGCCACCACCTAACCCGCGAACAGGCATACTCTGGGAACGAGATTGATAAAATTTTGGTTTTCAAATTTTGTCAAGCAATTGGAAGGCCCGGTTTTAAAACTTTTCGGGTTTGTAATGCCCTAGATCTTGAAAATATCCATATTATTTTTGTTGACTGTTCTAGAGTAAATTCTTAACTACACAAATGATTGTGTTTATGCGCAGCGATTGCAAAGCAAACTAAATTTTTAATACGAAAAAGATGGCTGGTGATCGATGTTTACGTTCATATGTGTCGGACAAGCCCCCCATCATGGACATGGTATAATCAAACCAATAATTTATCAATCTGCCAAGAAACTATTGTATAGATCAATGAAACTTAATTGTCGATTTATCGGACGGCAATAAGTTACAGCATTCG